GTGCAGTGGCGCGATCTCTGCTCACTGCAAGCTCTGCCTCCTGGGTTCATGCCATTCTCCTGCCTCAGCCTCCCAAGTAGCTGGGACTACAGGCGCCCACCACCACACCTGGCTAATTTTTTGTATTTTTAGTAGAGACCAGGTTTCACCGTGTTAGCCAGGATAGTCTCGATCTCCTGACCTCGTGATCCACCCGCCTCAGCCTCCTAAAGTGCTGGGATTACAGACATGAACCACCGCGCCCAGCTAAGATATTATCTTTTATATCATTTCTATGATTAGAAGACAAAGTTAATAAAATAAGAAAATGCCTCCAGATACCATTTGTCTTTGGAGTTGCAAATAATGTCCCAAGAAAGCATGGGAAGAGGGAAATAAAAGGTGGAAAGGGGAACAGATGACAGGGGAAGGAAGAAGAAATAAGTAAGAGATGAATGTGAAGAACTGAAGTCAAAATAGGAAGGAAAAGTGGAAGGAGTAACAGAAAACATGTTTATCAGCTGAAAAAGATGACAAGCTAACACAGCTAGACCACAGTAGCAGAGAAACCAAATAGGAAAAAAAAGTGATTTCAAATATGGAATTAAACCATGGATCAGGAAAAAAAGAGCTTTAGTATGATAGATTTTTAAGAGACACTAGAGAAAAGAGGGAAAAGAGTGGTCCTTGTGATGTCGGTTAATATGCATTAAAGTAGATTCATACTTATGTCAGTTTATATGGTTACAACTGTCTGGGTCCTATTATTTCTAAAGGTCCTACAAAACACTCAAAACCATAGTAATGCCATTGAAAAAAGAGACTGAGGGGAGTTTAAATGGAGATCAAAGAGAACCCTCAGAAAAGCAACTATAGGTCCAGCCAAGTCTCATGGATGCATCACCCTGGGAAATAAAATGCACTCCCTATTTAGGACTTGTTTTCTAGCTCTGAAATTCTAGTTTATCTAGGGCAGGGATTCTCAACCCTCCATTAAGCAGCAGAACCCTTTCTTTAAATGAAGTGGAACTCACAGACAATATAAGATCCTAAGAGAGCAGCTGCTGTTCGAATGAGGTTGGGAGCCCAGGAGCTGTGGCCAGCCCACTTCTAGGCCTTTCTCTGCAGCCTGAAGCAGTTCCTGAGGCACTTCCTCCTCAGACTCTGGAAAACAGTCTGGGGACCACTGGTCTAGGAAATGGCAGGCAAACCTGTTCTGTACTGCTGCTCTCTGGAAACAATCATAAGTTACATAATGTTTGCTGCTATACAGTGACTGGAAAGATGCATGCAACATGGTGCCCAACGTAAGACCAGTTTTAGGAAGAAATACGAATAATGGAGCTCATGTAACAAAGTCCCCCTTCCTTTTCCCATTATGGCCATAGGAAAGTTTAACCAAGTTTACAGCAAATCTTCTACCCCACAGAAATGCTAGAAAATTGGAGAGAGAAAGACCTCAGAGACCACTAAACGTGATGCTACCGACTACAACTGCTTACTAAAGACAATCACGTCTCATAAAAGACAAGTTGTTTTAATCCTCAATTGTTCATATATTACAGTAAGAAAATAGCAAATCTGACCTTGCTGAAGTAGTTGTACAAAATTTAACACAGAAACCAGAGTCACAGCAGAAAGAGGCTACTGGCAGCATGGCTGAGGGGAGGTGAGTTTCACTCAAATACTGATGCTGACTTGCCACAGGACCAAAAGTAAGTCACAAAACAGTCATTTTGCTTAAATTTTCCCAGAGCATGCTTCCCAAGCCATCTCCTCGGGATGTGAGGAATCTTGACATGATAATTATAAAATTCTAGAACTAGAGGTCACCTGAGCTCAGAGCTCACAAGTTCATCTGACTGGTCTACATTTAAAGGCACCAGAGGCTGGGCATGGTGGCTCACGTCTGTAATCCCAGCATTTTTGGGACGCCGACGTGGGAGGATCTTTTGAGCCCAGGAGTTTGAGACCAGCCTGGGCAACATGGTGAAACCCCGTCTCTACAAAAAATACAAAAATTAGCCAGGCACAGTGGCATGAGCCTCTAGTCCCAGCTACCTGGAAAACTGAGGCAGGAGGATTGCTTGAGCCTGAGGAGGTCAAGACTGCAGTGAGCCATGACTGTGCCACTGCACTCCAGCCTAGGCAATAGAGTGAGACCCTGTCTCCAAAAAAAAAAAAAAGAAAGAAGGCGCTAGAGAGAGAGGGGAAGGACTGTCCTATTTCCAAAGAACATGAGCAACAGAGGCTCTACAAAAAGATTAACACTGTCAAAAAATAAATCAAAATCCATCAAGCCCAGTGTTTATCAACCAGGATGAATTTTGCCCTCTAGGGGGCAACGGGAGTAGACAGGAGAGTTTCCAGTAATCACAAGGACCTGGGGGTACTACTGCCATTCAGTGGGCAAGGCCAGAAAAGTTAAGACTTCCTGCAGTGTGGGGGGCAGTCTCACACAATGAAGAACAGTCTCACCTAAAATACCAAGCCTAGTACAAAGTTTCCCATAAACACAAACCGTGAAGAGATATGACCTTCTAATTTGGGTTTAACTTTAGTGTTTAATAACCATCCTAGGTTCTCTGGTCACAATCTAAGTTCTCTCTAGACTTAAGAGTCTATGAAGAGGTGTGCCTCTTCCTTATAAAATAAACTCTGGAACATCTATTAAGTCTTTCCTTACTTAGCCTTCACCTTTCCAGCATAAAGGAAGTTTGGTAAGTATCTTAAAGTAATTCCAGACAATACCACCGTAATGATTTCTGTGAGAGATGGCCACCTGTAGTAATAATCTCCCACTGCCATGGCTGGAAAGTATTGATGGACCCTAAATTTAATTTTTAGTTGAGAATAGGACACAAGGCAAGAGGGATTGAAAGCAGGGTAGGTTTCAGAAGAAAAAAGCAGAAGAGTTTTAAGTAAGGGAAGCCAAAGGGGTTTACTAACTGTATTGCGTCTTTGATCAAACTGTGAAATTCTAGAGCAGGGAATTTTAACCAGGGTCTTATGGGTAGAGGAAAGGGGAAATAAAAGTTTGAAACCCCCAAAATCATACATAAAATGTTGAATGTAAGCACTTTTTGAAGAGAGGATTCCTACCTTTTATCACTTTCAAAGAGCTACAGGACTCTAGAAAGGATAAGAATCTCTGCTACAGTGACTCATCAGAATTCCAAAGGAAGAATAAATGGTATAGAACAGAAATTCAATATAACCAATTTAAGGAACAAAATGTCAGACCAAGTTGTATCAACTCAACTACCCATATAAAAATAACAACTGCTTGCCAAAGCAAACGTATGGCAATTTCACATAAACAATGAAGAAAATCAACTGAGAAATCTTGAGAAATGGCTTGCAGTGCCTAAAAACATATTTAAGGACCAGATGATACACTGGGGATCCAGACAGTCAGTAGAAACTGGCTCCAAACCTCAAGGGAAAAGAAAAGTGGGCTCAACCAGTGGTCTGAGTGGTCCAACGAGGCTTTTTAAGCATTGAGTCTATTTCTTTTCTCTTTGGCATTTTAGAGTCTAGGTCCTTAGGAATGCCTGAAAATATGGCCAAGAAAGGACTGGAAAATCAAAACAAAACAAAAAACTCGTAAAGCTTTTTCTATGGATATATATGAGGGAACCACTCTGGGGACAGAGAATTCCACAATAAGTTTATAAAATTCTGGTGAACCTAGACATTATTTAAGAACAGATGCAGGACTCTTCACTCAAAATAAGCCATCACCCATTGTTGCACTAATTAGATCTCCCAAAAACAATTTGCTACTTCGAAGTATGTTTAAGGCAAAGATCTTTACTTTTCAGCCTAAGGGTGTAAAGCCCTCAGCTTCAGGGCTTGGTTCCGGGAGTCTTATTACTTTGTGGTTCGGGACCAGCAGCATTCAGCATCACTGGCATCGTCTTAAGAGCTTGTTAAAAATGCAGACTCTCCAGGTGCAGTGGGTCCCACCCATAATCCCAGCACTTTGGGAGGCAGAGGTGGACGGATCACTTGAGGTCAGTTAGAGACCAGTCTGGCCAACATGGTGAAACCTCATCTCTACTAAAAATACAAAAATTAGCCAGGTGTGGTGGTGCACACCTGTAATCCCAGCTACTTGGGAGGCTGAGGCACGAGAATCGCTTAAACCCAGGAGGCGGAGGCTGCAGCGAGCCCAGATCACGCCACTGCACTCCAGTCAGGGCAACAGAGCAGGACTGTGTCAAAAAAAAAAAAAAAAAAAAGACTCTCAGGCCTAGCCCGTGACCTACGAACTCATCATCTGCATTTTAACAAGATCCCCTGGTGATTCCTACGTACATCAAAGCCAAGAAGCACTACCCTAAGTAACTCCCACTATGAATACACATACTAATGAGGCTGCCATGTTATGGTGAATTTAAAGGGCAGAATCACAGAAAGATAAAACGATGGACTAACTGCCAAGGTTCTGACTAGTAGAAGTATTGTAGCTCAGGTAGTCAACATGCTGAACAAGATAACTTTTCTTTTTGTGTTTTTCCTTTTGTAAACCTAAGGATAAAGAAAAAAAATAAATGTCCAAGATTCACTTACCCATTGATAGATGTTCTAGACATAAACAGGCTAAAAACAGATGACACAAAAGAATGATATAATTGGATAAATAGCCAGCCTGATTTCTCAATGCTGTTGTTTAAGAAGATCTGTGTTCCTTGATCAAGGTAACTCTGAACAAAGACAGCCTGGAGTGATTCGCATAATTTCTCTCTGTTGCACACATACCACTAAAAAAAAAAAGAAGAACAAAAATTAAAACACATAACCAAAGTGTCACCTAAGAAATCCAAAAACAAAAAACCAGAAGACTAAATTAAATCTAAGATTTCCAAATATTACCTACCATCTCATGATACTCTGAGAACAATCATTTCTTATACTCATATAACCTATAAAATATAAAGCACTTCTTCAGACATGACTTCTCATTTCATTTTCTTACAGCCCTCAAGGTAAGTCGAGTAGGTGAGGGAAGGGTGGAGAGGCTTTTGGGTCATTCAGCTTAGTAGGCAGCAGAACAAGACCATAGCTCAGGCACTCGGACTCCCAGCCCAGTGCTTCAGTCACTGTATCCCTGAGATTTAGAAAGCTCTGCTGGCCTCTCTTTCACTGAGATTCAACATCAGAAGGCAAACAGCTGGCAGTATCCTTGTTTTTAGATAAGAAAACAGTCACATAATCCAATGCCTTAACTCAAAACCACCAAACAAACCCAAATAGCAAAGTAAGCAACAGAATTTAACACTCCAGTGACCAGATTACGTTGCCTTTCTTCTTGTGGGCTATTTAAAAGAGATCTTTAGAAATCTTGAGGTGTGCTTTACAAATACGTCATATGACATTCCTACAGAGGCAACATGTGCTCAAGAAAGATTAAGAAGTTACTTAAGGTCATACTGCAATCAATGAGAAGACCAAGTAGTAACATGCTAAGACCCAGATTTCCAGGAATTGGCTCTACCCAGAATCCACTTTCTAGAACAAAATTCAAGAGCTTCACCTATAGATGAAATTTATAATCTTTCATAATAAATGAGTTAGCATACCAGAGAGGTGGGGAAGCAGACTGTGTATCAGCTTTAGTGTCAGCCCCCAATCAAGTCCCGGCTCTGCCTTTCCTATGTGAGCTCAGACAAATCACTTAATCTCTGAGCCTCCATTCATTCGTAGACTAGAGACATCACTGGTATGTCTATCTATCCTAGTAGGGTACTATAAGGATTAAATAAGATAATGTAGGCAAGTCCTCAACATAACACAAAGCACATAGTGAGAATCCTACAATAATAATAGCAATGAGATTCCTCTAACATGGCCTGAGAAATAAGAGTAAGCCCCTTAGGTACAGTGATGAAACTACAAAGTATATCAGTTACTATTAACCCATTATCTGTCATGAAACACAAATTTTTCCCAGTCAACCGGCCAAGAGTAATTTGCTTCCCCCTGACAAATATGACCTTTTATCAGCGGTAGACGTCCCATAAGCACTTGCACAATTGGTGGACCAGCTTTACAGTCATCCTAAGCTTACTAAATGTTCAGTGAAATCTTAAGTAACATTCCCGATGCTAACATTAAAAGGAACTAGTTACAAATCAACACAAACAAACAGACACACTAAATTTCAGAGATTAATCATTTTACAAACTCTGTTCCCTAAACTGGGTAAACCAAGCCTTTCCAGTTGTGGACTGATTTGTGCTAATTTGCCATTTCATCACAGTTATCAAAACTGCTTGGACTTCATATATAAAACTATTTTTATTTTTCCTACTCTATATGACAAGCTATGAAGCTTTTTACATTCACTGCCTACATTTTTTTCCCTCGGTCTGAAAATGTTCTCGCTTAATGATTTTCTAATTCTTAATACTTATTGTGCCTGAAGTTATGCTCCAGTGCAGGTCATAAACCGTTTTTTATTATACTCATGACCTCCTGGTGCACGTTCTGAACTCTGTAATATGGAGGCCACTCTGACTTTTATTTATTTTTTATTCTCTGAAATGGCTAATCAAGATGAAAGCCATCACCTTGATAACAGGCAATCAGGTGCATTCTATTAATGTGGATGAGAAGTCATTCAAGTGAAACAGAGAAGCTAAGAATTCCTTGGCATCCACTTGTAAATGGACTAGAACAACAATAGATTCTGACTTCCAGAACCAAGCAGGAACTGGCACCATTAACTGCAAATAGTGCTTTCAAGCACCAGGAGGAAAACTCAAGTTTTTAATAGCATTTTTCTTAATTCATCAACATTAACACGTGTGGTTGAACCTTTACTGTCACACAGGTCTTTCAGGAAAGAAACTGCCTATTGAACAGAATGTGCTACAGAACAAAAACAGAGCAAAGCTCTTCTCTGTAAAAAGAAAGGTGAAACGTATGTCCTTTCTGACCATTTGCATGACACAAATGTCGATTTCACAGCAGCACTGCCAAAAAGTGAAAACAAGTCAAATGTCCATCAAATAGTGGATAAACGAGATGTGATAATAGATTCATAGAAAATAATAGCATATTCTGCCATACAAAGGAATGAAGCACTACTTCATGCTCCAACATGGATGAACCTTGACAACATTATGCTAAGTGAAATAAGTCAGTCCACAAAAGACCGCATACCGTATAATTCCACTTCTGTGAAATGTCTTGAATATGCAAATTCAGAGATAGAAAGTAGATGGCAGATTGTGGCTGCCAGGGGCTGGGGAGCTGGGACAATGTGGAGTGGCTGCTAATGGACATGAGGTTTCTTTTTGGGGTGATGAAATGTTCCAAAATAAATACTGGTGATGGCTGCAGAATGCTGTGATTATACTAAAAATCAATGGATTGCACTCTTCAAAAGGATACATTTCATGGTATGTGAATTATATCCCAATAAAACTGTTTTTTTAACACACACACACACACACACACACACACACACACACCCCTCCCTAAATATGTAGGTGGCAGTTAGATCTTCCAGAAATTAAAAGTGGCCTGAAAACGTAAGTAACTTAGTAAACCTCTTAAAATACAAATTTTAAATGCAAATCTGATCACATCACTACCCTGCTTAACAGGAACCTTACGATAACATTCAAAATGCTTAATATGGCTTACAAGGCCCTACACGATTTTTGTTCATTCTATGTCACCAGCCTCACCTCATGACATTCCCTACCAACCCATGACCCCTGGACCCTCACTCCATCACACTGCTCCAGCCCTTCGTTCTTTTTTCTGGAAGGCCCCTTTCCCGTGGCTGTCTCACATGGTATTTGCTCTGCCCTCCACAACTCCCACCACCTACACCACTCTCTCTTCACCTGGTTCGTTCAACTTCAGCCTAAATATTTCCTAGGTATATTTTCCTTCAAAAAGAAAATATACCTAGGAAAGGCTAGGCTAGGCCCCCTGTTCTAATACCCTTTCATACATCCCATTTGTCCCTTCAGTAATATTTACAATCTCTGGATTGAATAATTGTAGACAATTGCATATTCAGTGCCTATCTTCCGAGGTAGACTGAGAGCTTCATAAAGGCAGAGAAAATGAATGGCTTCAGTGCCTGGCACAGATACAGACAAACAATAAGTGTTCATCTACAGGCAGTCTAAACAGATAGAATTTGGAGTTTCTAACAAAATCCTAGAGGAAACATAAGGATAACCACAGAGACCACTGCTATGGGCTTTCTGTCAATTTCTGAAACTCTGCAAGGCCTTGCTTAAACCTAATTTTGCAAACAGTGGTTAAAGCTACCCACTCACCACAAAATTACATTACCACAAGCAAGGAAGCAAGCGATGAAGGAAGACACCAACTGAGCACCTATCATGCACTAGGCACCAAGCCAAGTGCTTTACATTTCATTTACCACCTTGCAACTTCTGAACAAATGGGAAGCCTAGGGTCTCTAAGCAGCTCCAGCTGATTCAAGCTCCTGCTCCAGGTACCCGTTGTTTTATAAGCGTTTCTTTCAAAGAAGCTTCTCTTCGCTTAACTCTATCCAGTGTGTCTGCTAAAGAAAAGAAAGCAGGACTATCCTGCCAATTAAACAGAACTAGATGTGTGTAGAGAAAAGATAACCTGGTCTAGATAGTAACGGAAGTACTGTAAGCCAGGGTTTCTCACCCTTCACACTACTGACATTTGGAGCTGAATGATCCTCTGTTTCACGGGCTGGCCTGCACATTGTAGGATGTTTAGCAGCATTCCTAGCACTTATCCATCAGGTTCCAGTAGCACTACCCCAAGGGACAGCCCAAAATGTCCCAGGCAGGCAAAACTGCCACTGCTTGAGAACCCATACATGGACTTACCCACAAAATGTCACTGTACTGACTCTCCAGTAATGTTTCCCACTATCCCAGCTTAACTATGGTCTAGGGACTCCAGCTGACTGAATTAAAAGATGGACTCGATCGCCTCAGGGAACCTACATTCCAGAGTGAAAATAAAATCAGAAACCAAGGAAACAAGTAATGTGACTATGATCTTGAAGAGGAGCTTCACAGCCTTAAAGGAGCAGTCACCTTGCCCTTAAGGTGAAATACCAAGGAGAGAGAAAATCTGCAGGAACCCCTGTAACCCAATGGGCAGGCCTCCTGGTTTCGCCTCTCTCCAGACAACCCAGCTTAGATAGAAAGCTATGCTGAGCTCACAGCACTGGGTGGCTTGTCTGTAGGCTCCCGTGTACTTTCAAGCAGGTGAGTTCTTTGTTTTGTGTTTTTGGTTTTTTTTTTTTTTTTGGTTTTTTTTGTTTTGAGATGGAGTCTCCCTCTGTCGCCCAGGCTGGAGTGCAGTGGTGCGATCTTGGCTCACTGCAACCTCTGCCTCCTGGGTTCAAGTGATTCTCTCGCCTCAGCCTCCCAAGCAGCTGGGATTACAGGCACCCACCACCCCACCAGGCTAATTTTTGTATTTTTAGTAGAGACAGGATTTCACCATGTTGGCCAGGCTGGTCTCAATCGCCTGACCTCAGGTGATCCACCTGCCTCGGCCCCGCAAAGTGCTGGGATTACAGGTGTGAGCCGCCGCGCCCAGCCGCAGGTGAGTTCTTTGAATGTGTGCTCCTCAAAGACTACAGAAACAAAGGTGCACAGGCAAGAACAAAGTACTATGCTCGTTAAATTCACACACTGACAGGACTACGTGCCCGCCCTACTGTGAGGCTGGACTCCTTGGCTGGAGCCTATCATATCTGAAAAAGCATCTTATTAGCATCTGC